ATTAGGTTCCACTTATAGGTGGGTTCTTCTTTTTATTAGTGTATTGATGATGAGTAAGTCCCGGTTTATTTTATCCAAGTTAGAAGCTGCCTTGATAAGGTTAGATGACTAACTCCTTTCTCTTACCCATACACATTCCTGTGTAAGGGGATGACATCACCTGACCTTATTCCCAAAGGCTTCCTGTATAAGTAGATGTTAATCCTCGTTTAGCTGAATTCTTTTCCTTACTGAACAATGCTCCTAAAAAGTTGTGTTAACATAACTCTCACCAATCTTAAAGGTAATGGGAAAAATTAACCAGATTTTAGCTTAATGAATAAGCATGAAGAAAATACCATAATTAGTGAACATTAAAAGTAGGGATTGATTTGCCCTGACCCGTGTGGCTTGGTTGGTTGGGTGTCTGTCATTCTGTTAAGCAAAAGGCCACCAGTTTGATTCCCGATCAGGTCACATGCCTGGTTGTGAGTTCTGTCCCAGTTGGGGAGCCTCTGAGAGGCAACGAATTGATGTTCCTCTCCCACATTCATGCTTCTTTCCCTCCCTTTCTCCCTCCCTTCCCCTAGCTCTAAAAAATAAATAAATAAAATATTTTTTTAAAAAAATTAGGACTTCTTTTTAATCTCACATTGGACAGTTTATTTACACTCACTGAGCTTCAGTCTCCTAAGCAAAATAGAGGGGTCAAGTTTTATTTCTAAAATCTCCTTAAGCCCCCAAATTCTGTGGCCTGTGTTTCTCTTTTCACTTTACAGATTACTCCATCAGTATTTAAGTGCCTATGGTGCACCTGAGGCTGGTTATACAGTTTTAGTATATGCTGTTATATAACAGTGACTGCTATATCATGCTGAGAAAATCTTGCCACTGCCAATGAGTTCCAGTGACTGACTCTCAACAGGTTTTTTGCATTTGCCATTGCATTAATAAATTATATTAACCAATTAGGGGAAGAAGATGGCAGAGTGTCTGTCATATTTAAAATACAGAAATGGTTCTTTTGTTCCCCATAGTTTTTACTTTTTCTTCACTTTGGTGGCTGTCATTACCATTGTAATTATTTAATTTACTCTTCCGGGAACTGAAAATAGATTGTGGTGTAACATGAAAAGAATCCACCATTTCTCTTTGGTTCGCATCTGTAGAGACACTAACTGGGGAGCTCTTAGGTGCTGGAAATTCTCCGTGTCGTAAAAGGAGAAGCTAATTTATACCCGTGGCTTTGTTTGGCAGACGTCCAACTCATAAGAAAAGTAATTTGCAGATAGCAAGTGCAAGAGATTGTAATTAAAATAGTGCTAGATTTTTTGGCTTTGGTTTTATTTTAATGAGTCAATAAAATGGAATTGTGAGTGATAGCTAATTTTGTTCTGAAGATAATAAGTTTTTGCCAATTTCTTACTGGAGAAATTTGCTCACCTTTCCACCTACACCCCCCACCCCCCCCCCCCCCCCCCCCCGCCCAATATTTTCGATACTAGCCGCACCAGGTTTTAGGAAAGACCCAGCTGCTGCTTTATCTGCATGGACTGCAGCTGTGCTTTTTGTGTTCTCTCTTTCAAGTTAGTAGGAGTAATAAAGATATGTGTGACTGTGGTCAGCCCTCAGTGGGTCCACTGCCTTGCACCCTCAGTGGGTCCGCCCACTTCTCCACACCTGGGATCCACCCATGGCTGCCGGCGCACCTGGGTTGCTTGCCCGGTTCAGTCCGCTGGATCTTTCCTGCCCAACCCCACTCTGCTGCTGGCTCTGCCCCTCTTACCAGTTTGGCTGAAGGGTTCGTTGTTTTCAGACTTCCGTGTAGTTCAATTTTCTGTCGTTTGGCTGCGTTTTTGTTGCTAAAACTTTGTTGTTTTTAAACTTGGTTGTGCAAAAAGGCACAGTGCTTCCACCTACGCCTCCATCTTGGCAGAAGTCTTCCCAAATAGTTTTTCGATACTTATATTCATAGATGGGAAAACTTCATTAGCGAATTGTCTGTTATTCTTTTGTTTCGTAAGGGTGTATCCATTTTTTGTTAAGGATACACTATAATTATATATTAAAGACCTTAAGTTCTTATCATGTATGATGCAAATATTTTCCCCCAGAAAACTTACATACAGATATGTTATTTTTATATGTGAAGGTCCCAAAGGAGAACCTTTAATAAAAAGAAGCTCAGAAAATATATAGCCTATCCTTAGTAAATACAATTGAAAATGTCTTTCAGTCAATAATAAATGAAGCAAAATTAAGAGCTAACTAACAGGGAAGTCAATGTTAATAGGGGTAATTGTTTAAAGCAGTATGCTTCATTACAATAAAGCAAAAATGCTTTATTTTTGTATGGACTGTGGATCATTTTTGCTTTTTACCTGTAAAGTGTGTTTACTACGATATTTTTCTCTATAGATTTTGTAGACAAGCAAATTCTCAGCTCATTTTCAGAGATTTGAGCTACAGTGCACTACGATCTCAAAGGATGGATTTTTGAAACAGGTTGTAATCATGGGCAATGAAACTGCCAAAGGAGAAGAGACTTAGCAACACAGTCTTGATACTTTTTATTGATCGTCCAAGAGAATATAGAATCTCTAGAAATTAATTTTTAAAATTTCCTTCCAAATATAAAAGATGCTTCATTTAAATTGTATTATGAGTTTAATGCCTCAAAACCATCTAGGATTTCATGCAATTTCAAATAACTTAGTTTAAAAAGAAATTTATTGTAAGAAAATTATTTTCAATAAAGACAAAGGCCCTTTTTTCTCTTTCTTTTTTGTCTTGGGAGAGGAAGATGAGAAATGCTATTTTGGGGACAAGATTCCCAGAAGAAGGGAATCCTCTGGCAGTTTTGGCAGAAAACCAGCCTCCAAAGGAAAAGGACTTCAGCTTCTAAAGTGGGGAGTGGTGATGAGCTCCAAGTGGAGGGGGTGTCCCTGAGACTAGGGGCGGGTCAATACCAGCCTGGGTGGGTAGAAACGCGACTTGACAGAAACTCCATAGAGCTGATTCATTAGACATTGATGTGTTTCATTTGGAGGTGCTCGCCTTCCCAGTTCTCTGGGGAGGATCAGTTACAGCTCCAAGGAGGTGATTGTATTTTACTCAGGACCACATTGTTCCCTCTTGCCTTCATTACAATAAAACTAATAGTAATAGTAGTAGTAATAAATAAAATATAAATTCTAAAACCCTTTCCCCTTTATTTTCCAGAAAATAAGTCATGTAAGCATCTGCAAAGTGAATAGTGATTAATTTGAGGGATGGTGTCATCTTTAGTTTTAAAATGTTTTGGAATTCTTTTGTGGTGCTGTACATAGAGAAAATAGTTTTTGCTCTTTATATTTCTGAGGTGAGTGTGGATATGTATGTGTATGCATGCTCATGTATTTAGCCTACGTTTTCAAACTGATGTTTTCAGTGGGGGGAATCGCAATTTGTTTGAATAAATATATTTGGAAAGATGGATGACAAGCCAGCCTTCTCATCCATGGGTAATTACATTTGTCATTATGGTCAGCATGCTGATTTGTTATGGTCGGATATGACATTCATGAAGGTTTAGTAAGGTGGTTAGAAAACCCAACTGTTTGGCTCAAGCATTTCAGTGTCCATTTCTCTTTGATCCCTGATTCCTGGCAGCGGAAACAGTGAGGGGAAGAGTGGTAGAGATCCCCATACACATTTCCTGTAGAGACAGAGAATAGAACTGCTCCAAAGCGAAGTTTCAGTTCTCTCTTATTCAGTCAGCAAACCCTAGCTGAGTAGCTTACTGTGCCAGACACAGATTTGTTTTCTGTGTCATTCCTTTATCCAAATCCACTCCCTGAGAAAGGCTCCCCGCCCCCCCCCCCCCCCCACAGCAGACACACGGAGTCTTTATGCTGTTGAAAAGGTCTGGATCCTTCCTGCATAGAAACTCCAGCCCTGTATCTCCTTCGTTGAATGTACTGCTAGGGTGGAGTTTCAGTTTAAAATCCCTTTTTTTTTTTCTTTCTTAAAATAAACCCTAAGACAGAAACGTATTTTAGAGAAAAAAGAAGAGATTATATCGTGAGTATGTTCTCATGTTACAGCATACTTGTGAACATTTTAGTGACTGGGCATTATTCCATTGTGTACCTCAATTTCTGAACATTCATCCAGAATGTGGCTCACAATTTGCATCTGTTTCCTTAAGTCACTATTTATGAACATTTGTAAGACCCTTTGGGCAAATTGCCAAACCAGTTTCAGAGAATTTGTAGCATCTTATAGTCTCATTACAGGTCTCTTAACTACATATCATAGCACTCTAACCTTCACTGGATACTAAAAACTTCAAATTGTCACTGTTTTTTTTATAAATTTTCATTTTTCTTATTACTAGTGACATTGGACACTTTTTACATGCTTATTAGACATTTTTTGTTCCTTTTTCCTGAATTGTCTGTATATGTCCTTTGCTTGTATATCTGTTGGAGTTTGTATTTTTCTTATTCACTAGTGTAAACTTTTTTCATATTAAGGATATTAACATATATCCTTATCTTTAATATTTACTGATCACATTCAGGCAAAAATCCCTCCAATTATATCATTTGCCATCATATTATCACTTAGACCAGATAACTTGTTTTATTCAGTGAGATCAGCTTTATATCATTTTATGTGGGAGGTGGTTTTCAATGTTTAGTAATTAAGAATACATACTTTAGAGCAGAAAAGAAAGTATCTATTCTAGAAACTTATATAAAAGAGAGAATGTATAAGAGTTAAATTGCAAGGGACCTTGGTCCTACCGACCCTACTGTGCCAGCAGACTCATTGGTATTCCTACTGTGTGGGATGTATGGCCACTCTTGTGCACTTTATACAAAACTAAGAGATCTGTCCCCAGACGAGGCACCTAAGAGAGGTAGTGAGCTGCTTTGGAATTTATTCAATTCCAGGAAAAGTTCTAGCCATCCCTCATCCCCACACCTGCAGTTGCCCTGAACAGCAGCCCTCACACATTCTCCTTTTCCTTTCAGACAATTCCTCCTCACTGCAGGAAGATGAAGAGATAGACATGGAGGCCATCAGCTGGCAGGCCAGCAGTCCAGTTATGAACGGACACCCTGCCACCCCAGTGACCTCTGCTCGTTTCCCCAGCTGGGTCACTTTTGATGACAATGAAGTGAGCTGCCCTTTGCCACCCATCACCTCTCCTCTGAAGTTGAACACACCACCTACCGCACCTGTGATCCCGGAGGTACCTTATAATGCAACTGGCTCGTTTAAGAAGCGGGAACGTCCCAAGAGCACTTTGATGAACTTCTCCAAGGTTCAGAAGCTGGATGTTTCCTCCTTAAACCATCCTCCTTCCATAGTGGAGGCTCCGCCTTGGAGGGCAACCAATCCTTTCCTGAATGAGACTCTCCAGGATGTACAGCCCTCCCCTATCAACCCCTTCAGTGCTTTCTTTGAGGAGCAGGAGAGGCGCTCCCAAAACAATTCCACTTCTAGTACCGCTGGCAGAGGCCAGAGAGATTCCCTCATTGTCATCTACCAGGATGCCATCAGCTTTGATGACTCAAGCAAACACCAGTCACACTGTGATGCTGTTGAAAAACTCAAACAACTCCAAATTGATGACCCTGATCACTTACGCAATGCAACACTGCCTGATGATGACCCAGTAGCCTGGCTTGAACTGGAGGACTACCCGCCTGGTTTAGCACTCTCCCAGCCCAGGGATGGGTGGCCAATGATGCTGAGGATCCCTGAGAAGAAGAACATCATGTCCTCCAGGCACTGGGGACCCATCTACATCAAACTGACAGATAGTGGTTACCTGCAGCTGTATTATGAGCAGGGCCTAGAGAAGCCATTCCGTGAGTTCAAGCTGGAGAGCTGCCATGAGATTTCAGAACCTCGGCTCCAAAATTACGATGAGAATGGCAGGATCCATAGCTTGCACATAGACCGCGTCACCTACAAGGAGAAGAAGAAATACCAGCCCAAACCTGCCGTTGCCCACACAGCGGAGAGGGAACAAGTGATTAAGCTGGGCACCACTAATTACGATGACTTCCTGAGCTTCATCCGTGCCGTTCAGGACTGTCTCATGGATCTGCCTGTGTTGTCAATGGACTTGAGCACAGTTGGCTTGAACTACCTTGAAGAGGAGATTACAGTGGATGTCAGAGATGAATTCTCTGGCCTTGTGAGCAAAGGAGACGGCCAGCTTCTCCAGCACCATGTCTTGACACGGATCCACATTCTGAGTTTCCTCTCTGGGCTTGCAGAGTGTCGCTTGGGCCTCAATGACGTCCTTGTCAAAGGGAACGAAATAGTTTCCCGGCAAGACATCATGCCGACCACCACCACCAAGTGGATCAAGCTCCACAAGTGCCATTTTCACGGGTGTGTGGATGAGGACGTATTCAACAACTCCCGTGTTATTCTGTTCAACCCTTTGGATGCGTGCCGCTTTGAGCTCATGCGGTTCAGGACGGTGTTTGCTGAGAAGACCTTGCCTTTCACGCTCAGGACGGCGGCCAGCATCAACGGGGCCGAGGTGGAGGTGCAGAGCTGGCTGAGGATGTCCGCCGGCTTCTCCTCGAACTGTGACCCTCTCACTCAGGTTCCCTGCGAGAATGTGATGGTCCGTTACCCTGTGCCCAGTGAGTGGGTGAAAAACTTCCGCAGGGAAAGTGTCTTGGGGGAAAAGTCTTTGAAAGCCAAAGTGAACCGGGGGGCCAGTTTTGGCTCAGCCAGTGCATCTGGCTCTGAGCCTGTCATGAGAGTAACTCTGGGAACTGCCAAGTACGAACACGCCTTCAACTCCATCGTGTGGAGGATAAACCGACTGCCTGACAAAAACTCCGGTAGGTAGGGGTTCCGCATCCATGAAACTCCCCACGCAGTTGCCAGCGAGCAGGGTCCAGGTTCCACATCCTCGTTCCCCACGAAGTGCCAAGTTCTGCTGTGTGATGGGCGTGGTGATGGAGGGGGTGTGGGACAAGGAAGGCAGGAATATTTGAGCAAAGTAAATAACACAGATGGCCCAGTGTACTCCATCTTTTCACCTCCTTAATGATCACACGTCTTCTATAAAACCATGCATTATTCTCAGCTGCCCTGCTTGCCAAGTAGCTTTCCAGGGCAGCTTATGAATTTATATTCCTTTCTGACTCATTAAAATATTACCTATGGTGGCGGAAGCTATCCATTTCTAGATCCTAGAAGGCTTCCGGGTTCTGAAGAGATATTTTTCTAACTATGCCTGGGTATAGGTAAAAAGGCCGGGTTATTATGGCCAATCATATGTACACTTACAGGTGAGGAGTATATAATTCCAGCCACCCTGTGAAAGGCCTGTCAGTCGTAACATCTCAAGCTCAGAGTTGGGATTTGGGGATAGAGGAGAAATGGCCTCGATCAGACGGAAGATCCAGCCCAGATAAGCAGGTCCAAAAAGGTGGAATTCTACCAGACAAAAAGGAAAGGAAGGAATGTTTGATTTAAACAAAGAAACACAGCCCACGGCCCGAGCTGGCCCGCTCACAGCTGTGCGGGGTGGTTTTGTGCTTTCATGAGCCCGGGAGGCGATGGATGGCTTTCCTCGGGGCTCCAGAGAGGTTTAGTGAAACAGCAAAACCAGGGAGGAATCAGACCAGCTCTAGCAGCTTGTGTATTAGAGGACGCCCCGGGGACCCCAGCAGCAGGCAGCCCATGGTCCTATGCTCTTTTAAACCACTTCTCTTCTTGTTTACAATAAACTTTGCTCATCTGTTAACAGAAGTGAATATCCCAGCCAAGCAAAAAGAATACGGTTTGGGAAAACTCTTGACTGGAATGTCTTTCTCTTGTGCAGATATTCTTTCCATTCTCTCCATTAAATGCTAAGTGCGTTTGAAGTCTTCATTTTCTGTCCTACGTGGAACGGCTGTGTTGTCATCCCCTGCACATAATCTGATGTGATGGCAGGAGGCAGGAGGAGCTGGTCCACGCCCCAGGCGTTCCAGGCTGCAGACACCCACCAGGGCACCCTGTGTCAGACACTGGGCGTAACAGTGCACACTGAAGAGACAATTGGACCTCTGTGTCTGGGGCTGGATTTGCCACCCTCTGCTTCTAAACTGACATAATTTTTAAAACAAAGTCTTTCTCTCTGCTTGCAAGTTCATTTTCCCTGAAAGATCCCTGTATCCTCCTGGCGATAGCACTGTGATTTCCGCCTCAGCCACAGGGCCCATCTGAATTGATGGAGGAAAGGAGAAACCCTGAATTCTTTGGCACAGAGGCCTTGGGACGAGACCACAGTGACAGGGAGACAATTACTGTTTAACCTGCTGGACACTTGACGTGAGAAAAACAAGGCTTCAGGTGTATGTTTATTGGACTTTTCAGCTCTTAAGTGTACTAGGAATGGATTCAGATAACTTGAATTTGGAACTGTTGGGTTTATCAAGGTGAAAAACAAGGCTTACTCAAACCTCTTCATTTTACATATGAGAAAATTAAGGGCCAGGAAGTGACGTGACTCATCTGAAATTACAAAGCCACATCCAGGGGTCTTTTTGCAATACCACAGTGGCCTTGTAGTAGATGCCACCAAATAGACACAAACTTGACATCATTCCCACTGTGGGAACAGAGAATTGCAGTTTTCCCAGTGTGTACACACACATCTCATTTGTTTCCAACTTCTTCCTCTCAAATATTTAAAAGTATCACCCAAGGGAGTTTTGGTTAGAAGCAGCAAAGACTGACTGGCTACTACAAGGGAAGAAAAGTTGTACGAAGGGTGTGGGTGGCTCAGAGAATTGAAGGAAGGATAGCTCTTGATAGAAGGACCTATGGGTGTCTCCTCAGTTGCAGCCATCGGGACAAATCACAGGCCACTTTCTGTCCTTGTGCTATTTGGCTCGAGAGTCAAGGAGGACAGTGTATTTGTACTTCCACTGAGATGACATGACAGTGCTGGGGGAGATGACTTCCCAAAAGGGGGGTGGGCTAGGGGGATTGTTATCAGAAGAAAGAGGAATGAATGCAGGACGGGAAAACTAGGTCTTCAGCAAACACCTCCCTAATGCTTCCCAGAGGGGCAGCATTCAGTAGGCTCAAGGCCAAGTGAATGCAGCTTACACATTACATACGTATTTCCAGACGACCGAGACCTTATTTGTGAAAGATTTTTGAAATGCAGGGAAGCATAAAGATATTTAGGACTGTTTCTCACTTAAATTTCCTGCCCCCCTGCCCCCACCCCAATTACTCCCTTTGCTGTCATGGTTATATAGATTTAGAAGTGAAACCTCCCAAAAGGGCTACTTATAATACTTCTGGCCAGTGGTATGTTTCTGTGTCAGTTTAGGAAATTGGTAGTACCCTTTTCTGGAAACTTGAGATGTATAGGATCAGAATTCCAGGGAGACTGCAGGTTCTTACCATTGCTGCACTCACTGTGTCCAGCCCCAGGCCACCCCATCTGGTGCCCAGAAACCAGAGAATTGATGATCATCTACTAGTTATTGTCCCCTGCCCCGTTCTCCCCTTTTTAGAGCTCTTCTATCTTGGTCTTCAGACAGGCTTGAGGAGGTGTCTTTCACAGATTGTTTTTCATAATCCTCACACCTCCATCGACAGTGAAGGAGGCCCGAATCTCTGCACGCCTCTTCCCACCTGCAGTGGCCTTGCATCCCTAACCTGTGGAAGGCAGAACAGTCAGGACACAGGCAGCAAGCACGGTCCAGCAGGTCAGCAGCCCTGGCTCTGCTGGCACCCAAGGCCTGCAGCCACAGCAGGGGGTCCCAACCCCAGCCATCAAGATTAACAAACTGCCATTGGATTCCAACAGGGCTCGGCCAGCAGGGCCCCGCCCCTCCCAGTGCAGGCCCCACCTCTCTGCCGGCTCTCAGCCCACCCCACCCTCCAGTCCTAGAAGGTGTCAGAACAAAGCACCAGTGCTCCTTCTTTCCCAGATCCTCTGCCAGGAAACCAAACGTTCTGTCCTGCAGAGGTAGCTTTCTTTGCTGGAATCCCAGTTGTCAGACCAGATGAAGCGCAAACAATCCCAATACGGTGCCCTCCTTTTATGGAAAATAGAAATCTGAATTTTAAGGTTAAATTTCCTCAGATTCATCGAGGGATATGATATAATGCATGGGCTCATTAGTTCATCACCATAAATTAAACGATACTAGCTTTCGAAATTGCACTTCCTATTTGTCCACCAGCCATACACATCCATTAGTTAATGCTGGGAATCAAGAAAGAATGTTGCTTTCATAGAGTCTGCTGTGAGTACCCTTTGGTGGGGTGAGAGAAGAGGGTCAGTCTTTTTGTTGTTTTTAAGTTTGTTTGTTTATTGAGACAGGGAAGGGAGGGAGAAAGAGAGGGAGAGAAACATCAGTGTGGTGTTGCCTCTCATGCGCCTCTTACTGGGGACCTGGCCCACAACCCAGGCATGTGCCCTGACTGGGAATCAAACCAGTAACCCTTTGGTTCTCAGGCCAGCACTCAATCCACTGAGCCACACCAGCCAGGGCAGAAGAGGGTCAGTTTTGTGGAAAATAATGATTTATCAATACTCCAACTGTATAAATAAAGGTCACTAGATAAAACTGTTCTTCAAGTTGCTATTTAATTAAATTAAGAAACTCCTCTAGCCTTGGCTGGTGTGACTCAGTGGATTGAGCGTGAGCTGCAAACCAAAGGGTTGCTAGTTCGATTCCCAGTTGGGGCACATGTCTTGGTTGCTGGCCAGGTCCCCAGTACAAAGGTGTGGGAGAAGCAACCACACACTGATGTTTCTCTCCCTCTCTCCTCTTACCCCCTCTCTAAAATGAATAAATAAAATCTTTTTTAAAAAATAAAGAAGGAAACTCCTCTATGTGCTATGTAGTGATTTAAATATATAGCAGTACATTGAGAGAAGTTTAGGACATAATTTACAGTCAGTCAGATCTGAGTTTTATTCCCAGTACTGCAATTTAATGGCTCTGTGACCTCAGGCAATTACTTAAACCGCTCAGAGAAATTTCATTTTCTTCATCTATAAAATTGGGTTATTAATACCTAACTCATTAAGAATGAAATTAGATAATGCTTTTAAGTGTTTAGCAGTCTCTAGCCTGTAATAAATGTTTAATAAATGTTTAATATATGATAGCTATATATTTACGTCTATGGTACACAATTTTTTTTAATTGAATAGACTCACTTTTTAAATATTATAGTTTTGGCCATTATATGTATCTTAAATTCCTTTCCCCAAACCAGTCTAAACTTTCCTATTAATTACCTAAAGTTTTACTCTTCAGAAGTAACCACTGGAATAACTCACATTTGTGAAACAGAGCAAAACAAGTACTTCACTCTGTAATGTTTTCCTTGGAGAGAGGGTGTGTATGGCCTCACTCTCTGAGATTAAAAAGTCCTGCCCAGACCAATAAAGGAAATTGGAATTGTTTATTTGGGAAAATTCAGATAACTGAGGGCTGTTTCGGTTACATAATGAAATCAAAGCTGTGTTTATCCACAGTGAGTTACTGTGTAGGGGTTCTTATGGCTGACTTCCCCTGCAGACCTCGTCACCCTGCAAGCCTGGTCTTGAGGTCTGGGAGAACCAAGAGGTTACAACTCAGGCAAAGCGGTTAAAACAACGTGGAGTCAGACTGCTCGGTTCAGTTCTTAGCTCTGCCACTTGCTAGTAGAGTGTAATGTTATAACCTCCAGGGGTGTTACGAAGAGAATCTGTGGGAAGCATGTAGCACAGAACCCAGCCCAGAGCACATCCCACTACCTGTGGTGAATGACCATGACAGCAGTCACAGGAATAATCTCTCAGTCATTCCCCTCAAACATCTAGCGATAATTCTCAACTGAAAATCAAACCTGCAGTGTGCCAGTCAAGTGCAGTAGAACGAGCCGTAGATTTATAGAATTAACGAACAGGAAAGGACTGCGCCTAACATTGTCCAGCCCGCCCTCTGCTAACCTCCCCCAAGTCTCCCACTTTACAGAGGAGGAACCGAGGCCTAGAGAGAGTATGGGACTTGGGTGCGGGATCTCTGCCACTCTGCAGGAGAGCTGGAAGGCAAACGCAGGGACCCCGACTCTTAGCCCATGTGCTCTCTGGTGTGCACTGTGCTTCCCTGATAGAAAGTGTTGTTAGGGCTTCATCATTTACATGTGCCGTTCACCCCAAAAACATGCCAAAAACATTTTCTCTTTTTTTAAATATGAAATGCTATGAAGAAAATTCATTTACCTTTCAAAGGTCATCGGTGATTTTGCTCCAGGTGGCTGTCACTGATGTTTTATTAGGTGTTAAAGGCTGATCCCTTGTATTTCTTCCTGCCAATCTGTGGCTCCCATCTCTTAGTATTTGTGCTGGGTTCACATATCACTCCGACCTGAGCAGGCAGAATGACCTCTGGTTCCCAAGCCACGTTTCTATGGCTAAAAGACCAGGCTGCTGTAACTGTGGGGTATTGTGTCAGCATCTGAGGCACATGCAGTGAGATTCTGCAGAGCCAAATCCTCTGCTCGGCGCAGACCCAGTGAAAGACTTCCAGGCCTCCTTTGTTTCTGCGGAGGCTTTTCTTCCACTTCTTCCCGAAGAGCCTGATTTGTACATTCTTTGTCTTTGTTTCATAGCTTCTGGTCACCCACACTGTTTCTTCTGCCACCTCGAACTTGGCTCTGACCAGGAAGTGCCTTCCAGATTTGCCAATCATGTGAATGTTGAGTTCAGCATGCCCACAACCTCTGCCTCCAAAGCTGCCGTCAGATCCATCTCTGTGGAGGACAAGACGGACGTCAGGAAGTGGGTCAATTACTCCGCACACTACAGCTACAAGGTAGCCTGGGGAGGCATCTGGCTAATGTCCCTAAGTTCGTTTGTTCACCCCTGCAGTCACCCCCGACTCCTTCCTTTTCGTAGTGCCTGCCCTGGGTGCAAAGTGTTCTCTTACCACCTTGGAGACAGCTCGCCATGGTACATAGCCATGGATGAGTCTGCTCTGATTTAAATGAATAATCTCTCTAGCAGGCAAGAGAAAGGTTGGGAAAAAATAAAGAAGCTGATGACAGAGGAGAATACAGTGTCTTTCAGTCATCATAAACAGCAACATACAAAAGAGGAGTGGGGTAAATGGATTATTATTACTCATTCACAGGGTGATTTGTGTTGCAGAGGAGTGAACTTGGAAGTTGAGGGGACTGGCAGGAAAGTGCTAACCCCAAGCTTAGATTTCAGCTATAGAAGTTGAGGTGGGTCTGAGTAAAGTTAGGACATATACAGCCTGGTCACTGGGCTGTAACAGAACCAATCCTGAAAGCCAAACAAGCTTCTAGAATAGTAACAGGATCAGAGCTGTGGAGGGAGGGAACCAAATTGTTCCGACACGAAAAAAGATTTTGTCCTGAGGAGTGAGAGATTCAGTAAGAGGCCATGAATGATGGAAAATGGAAAGTTATTGAAGAAGGATTTTACAAAGTGGTTTAATAATTTTCTATTCATAATAGTATCCTTAGGTTTATATGGTGATTTATCATTTTTTAATAGCTTCCCTAGTTGTATGATCTACCAAAAAGAACAAATACTCCATCTTGTGGCCAAAAAGAAAACACCCCCACACTTTCCTCAGATCTGACCCTAGTCCTGCTATTTCAGCCCTTTCTTTTTTCTTTTTAAAGATTTTACTTATTTATTTTTGGAGAAAGGGAGGGAGAAAGAAAGAGGAGAGAAACATCAATGCGTCTCATGCGCCTGTAACTGGGGACCTGGCCCACAACCCAGGCACGTGCCCTGACTAGGAATCGAACCAGTGACCCTTTAATTTGCAGGCCGGTACTCAATCCTCTAAGCCACACCAGCCAGGGCTATTTCAGCCTTTCTCGTCTCATGGCATGCATAAGTACTAAAATTCTGTGGCATGCCAAAAACATATAGTATACTTTTTGCTGCTCTGATTTAAAAAATAAGTATACATTTGATTCATTCACACCAGGCAGCTATTGATGTGTTGGCTGCTGTCATTTTTTTATTCGACAATCTAAAGGAAAAGAGGTCAGGGCCCCTGACTAAGTGGTCACGTGGTGCATGTTTTACAAGTTCTCGCCCCAGCACACTGGTTGAAAAGCACTGCTCTAGTCAACTGTTCTGTCTTGAATTTTCCCCCTCGTCATAAATATCCAAATTGGCGTTGAGGGGAGCAGCTTCACTTACGACTCTCCCCAGCCTCGAAGGATTCCTTGCCTGGCTTATAAAAAGCTTCCGTCAAGGTGTGTCACTTTCAAGGCAAGATTAATTTCTAGTTCCTTAATAACTGCAGCTACAGTATTTTGCAGATGATATGAGTAGAGCTGTAAACACTGCAATACTTAGCTTGGACACTTTTTACAGCAATAAAGTAATGGGAGGTGTAAACAGCCAATTGCAAGGGCATCACTTACTTATAGACCTGTGTGGTTGCCTGCTGTGTGCCTACATCATTGGGATACAGTAGTGAAGAGGGGAAGCCCTGTCCTCCGGAGCCTATGGGAGGTACAGCGGCACTGGGCAAGTGTATTGCGATGCAAGGTGCAGTGGGAATATGCACCTCTCTCTACCTAATGGATCAGGAATAGCTTCACAGAAGAGATGACCTTTGAGTGACTATGGAAGGCAAAGAATAGGAATTTTCCAGACGGACCGGGAGGGAGAGAGAATTCCAGACCAAGCAAAGAGTGTGTACAGAAAGAGAATTGTAATAAACACAGGGTCAGTAGCTCCAGTGTGGCTGAAATCCAATACATCACAAAATTACAGGGAAATCTCAAAGAACCTAAACTTAGTGAGGTATTCTTTCTCGGTGTGTTTATTTCTTGGGATGTTTTGCTCCTCTTTCTGATATTTCTCTCCACCTCCTATTCTTGGCAGGTGGAGATGGAGCAAAAAAAGAGTTTGAAGCCGGACTTTGAAGGAGAGGAGATGGAAAATCCCAAAGAGTGTGGGGTCCAGTGATGACGCCCTCCTGAGGGGCCCTGACCCTAGAGTCACAATAGGATATCATCCTGAATCACTGAAGTTCAAGTCAGTACCTGCTACGACCACTCCATGTTGGGAACAGTGTATTGGACCTTCCTGTTTGTAGTTGCCTGTATTGTAACAGGAAGCCTGAGGTGGTTGCTTTGGAGGCTCTGACAGTGCCTGCAGCACCTGGTTCCTCTGACTTTTGGAGCTTATTAATTAAGCCACCTCTTGTCTCTCCCAACGCTCGGGTGTGGTTTGTTGGGACTGTGAGAGTCAGGAAAAGAACCTCCCACACTGGTGTTGGCATGATTACCTTCTGGTGTTCTCCTGTCACTTAGATGGGTTTCTGGAAAATACGGTCTTGAGAAGTTCATTAAGAACCCATCTCTGTCACTCCCTCTAGAAATGGTTCAGCAAAGGGACAAAGCAGATTCCCGCTTTAGGTTTCCCAGTCCTTTCACAGGTGTCTCCAGTCTTTAAAATATTAACACTATGCAATAGCAGTTTTTGAAACGTTTCCCTCCTGGTTCCAGACTGTTGGGTTGAAGCACTTTTTCCATTTCCCTAAGGTTTCAGTCACAGGGTTCACCACCCTGAGTTGCAATGGACAGTGGGAGGAAGGGCAGGACGAGATGCTTTTTTATTCCGTGCTCAGTCCCACGTTCTGTAAAGGGAAAGCAAACCTGAGTTATGTTTCTTCATTCTGGGGAAAAGAGACATGAATTGTAAGATTATATTCAGTTGAGGAGACAGCTTCAGTCTCAGTGAATTCCCAAATCCACCCTGAAAAATGTAGGACATTTCTGATTCCTGAAACACATGGAGATATATAACCTCACTTTGGGAGCATTTTTTGTATCTCATGGCCAATAGACAGTGCGTGTCTCTATAACTCAGACTTTACAGGAAATGTATGCCGAAAAGATTGTTTAAAAGCTGTTTCAAAATTCAGTTTGTATGAGCTTTTCCCAGAAATCCAGAGTTTGATAATCATAGTATTGTAATAGATCTAAAAGGCAGAAGATTCTGGGGTACAGATGGTTGGAAAGCCATATTTCTTTTTCAGTGTTGGGAACATTAATTACTGATTCTAAGAGTCTGGGACACTCAGTTTTCTTTACTTTCATTCATTCCTGCTCACATTCTGCACCTCTGACTCTTATTTGTACGTTGGTATTTTTTTACCAGATAAGAAACTACATCAGCCATCCCAGAGGGGATGCCTGCTCCGCAATGCAAAGGCAGCTCCCATCTGCCTTTCTGTATCTCTGTGCAGAATAGAACAGGGGGACAGAGAGCACACTCACCAGATTCGTAGATGACCCAGAAATAGACATAGAGCCAGTCTGCTGACCAGCCGACGCAGGCTTTATTCAGTGACTTTTCATTGAATTCTCACTATGTACTGACACTAGGATATAGAAATCATTATAATTTATTTACATACCTGAGCACAAGACCGAAACTAAAAATACGAAATTGAATAGGCATTAATGAGAAACTCCATTTTGAGTTTTTGTAAATGCAACCCTCTGTGTACAGTGTGGTGTATGTGGATGTGTGTGTTTTTTGGTGGGAAGGGTATAGGAAAGTCCTGGTTTCACAGCAGTGCATGTAGAAATGTTTTGGAAATAATTCAGTTTTGAATCAGGAGTATATTGTGGCTGTTCACAAAGCTATTGCTTCCCACCTGTGTTGATAGAAGTCCAGGGAGCAGTAGCGGTTAGCCCACCTCTGGATGGAGGGTTGGGTTGAATTCTGGGTACCACACTTTAAGAGAGACTTTAATCAGTTGATTGTGTCCAGAGGCAGGTGGCCAGAGTTGTGAAGGGTCAGATTATATAAGAAACAGGGGAATAGGTCCTCTGAAGAACAGAAAATGTAGCAGGAAAAGGAGAGTAGGAAAGGAGGAAATGATGTAGTAGCTGTAATGGAGATTTCCGTTGAGCTAGAAAAAGGGAGAGGACTTAGACTTATACTGTGTAGCTTCAAAGGGCAAAAATAGGAACCAAGGGGAACCTTATACATAACAGATATTTGATCTAATAGAAGAAAGAGTTTTTGAATAAGAGTTGTTTTAAAGAGGCATGAACTCAAGTAGTAAAATTTCCTGTTGCTGCAGATGCCCATGCAAAGGTTAAGGTGACAGTCTAGCCCAGATGCTACGAAAGGGACTCTTGCATTGGCTTTGAGCTGGGTGACTGCCAGGATCCCTTCTACATACAGGGTTAGGCTCAGTAGTCATAGGGCTCTCTGACTTAAGCTGTTTTTCTTTGATGAGGGGTCTGTCATCCTCTTTGATATATAGTGGGGTCCCCTGGGGAGCTTTGTCCAGTGAGGCCACAAAGCATCTCCCTCCCCTTCTTGTGCTAAAGGCACATGGGATTCCTCACAGAAACATCAGGATGAGTTGAAGAGTTGGCAAGGTGAAGGTCATTCCACCACCTTCCCTACCCAAGGGTAGGGTAGCATCCACGCACCCTCTCAAGATCCCTGCCTCACCTTTGAGCTCACATGTGTGTTGCTTGTGGGGCCTTTTATCCTCACTTGGTTAGTTTTCATTTCCTTCATGCTTTCGGCTGGCCTTTTTAAAAAATAAAACCAGTGCTGGGAGAATTTCTTCTATGCCATCTTTCCCTTCAGCAAGCAAATTATTATTCTTTTGGAAAAACCTACCCCCTTGATTTCTTCAAACTTGTTTTCCCTCTACTGTTTTGGGAAACTGATTATAGTATTATATTTCCCATTTAGGTTCATGGGAAATATAATACTATGTATTTCCAGACTTAGTATTTTGCTAATAGCCTCCACAGAAAACACAGTTGCAAATTACTGTTTTGATGTTCAGGTTCTAAGTTTGTCACCTGTACCTGGATTTTGTGGGTATGGGCACAAATAATTCTGTTAATAATGTGGAAATATTAAAAGTGAATTCATTTTACCAATACATAGTATTACTACTAGAACAGAAATTGCATGCGGGCCTGTGAACCAAAGGATCGCGGTTCGATTCCCAGTCAGGGCACATGCCTGGGTTGCAAGCCAGTTCCCAGCAGGGAAGGCAAGAGAGGCAACCGTACATTGATATTTCTCTCTCTTTCTCCTTCTCTTCCCCTCTAAAGATAAATAAATAAAATCTTTAAAAAAAAGTAAAGGTAGGGAGAACATCTGAAATATTTTTTGAAAAAAGAAACTACATGTCACATATCAAAAGCTGTGTTGGGGGGGTTTGTTTTTGTTTTTTTTTTTTTTTTTAGTCCAGTGGCTTGCCTTTTGACTTTATAGTCGGAGGATGAGAAAAGCACTCATTGTGGTGTGTCAGACAAGGGAGCACAAGGCGTTCTGTGGGGGGCCAATAAAGCCCTGTGCCACTCTTTTAACAGGGTACTGGGTATTCCTTATCAACGCTTTGCCTCTCATTATGTTAAATTTTATCTGGAGAGTTTTATACTTTTTTAGTTGGCTCCCCGCCCCCCCCCCCCGCCACATTCCTGCATCATTGGCAGGTTCATAATCCTAGAGAACATTTTTAATATGAAATATTTCTTGTTTGAAGTAAGAATAGTTTCTATTCAATTCAGTGAGTGGGTGACGGTGGGATTTATTTCCCTAGAAATTCACAGAGCCAAGAAATGTTATCCACGAAGGCAAGGAATGTATCTTAATAGTTTCCAGGACTTAGCACAGAGCTTGGAATGTAATAGATTTCAGCCTCCTCAAAGCCTTGCTGGTAAGACCAACATATAGTAATGAGATAAAGGGAAATTACTAGGTATTCCATAAATGTTTACTGAATGAATACTTACCTGAAGACTCAACTTTTACTTATCATCAGATACTTACATTAAAGCAACATGCATGCTTTATTTCCTGGAACTCTTAAATAACTTTTCTTCCCTTTTATTCCTGCTTCCACTGTCAACTAATGATAACCGTCAGCTCTTAAGCACTGAATGTGCAGCTGAATTTACACTATAAAGTACTTTATTCATATAGAAGAAAACAGATACACTATGCCCGGAGATACAGTAACACAGATGCAATCCTCACTCAAGATGATTGATTCAGTTTTGTTCCTGTGAGTGAGACAGATCTGTGAGCCTGAGCCTTACCCGTTTGAATGGTCAGCAAGAGAAGAAAGCAGAAGAAGGCATTTGGTGCAGAACATGGCCAGTCTCCGTACGCTCGGTCTGTTTTCCCCAACATTAACCACTGCCCAAGGTTACTGTGTATTTCTTTTGTCACTGTAGTAAGATAGAGGTCTGAGGGAGTAAGGGTGAGACTTGTCAAATGAAGTCATTCCAGAGCTTCTTTACGGCTCATAATAAGCTGAGTGGCAGGAAAGCAGAGGATGATCTGAATATTAAATTGATTCGAACAGGAAGCCCTGCCACCCAGCCTACTTTTAGAAATCCTCTCCTCTGGGAATGGTAACTTAGCTCTCCCACAAACAACGATGGTAACTTAATGCTAGCATATCTAGGGTGTAGTTCATGTTAAGAATGAAGTTTAACAGGAAATTCAAACAAAATTGACCAAAAGAATTAAATCCACACACAGAAAATCCTCTAGGAAATAAATCATCTCTGACACTTCACTACCAAGGCCCATCCAAACCATGACAGCTCTCTGTAAAACCAGCTGAGGCCTTCTCTTCAAGTTCTAAAGGTGTTTCCTAAACCCCACCGAGGTCTTAGCGCCAGCTCCCTACACGTCACCACTTCTTCACCATTTCTTCATTGTGTTCTTTGGAAATGAGTCTTGCTTGGGACCTTCTGACTCATATTTATGTATTTCAGGAATTAAAAGTGGATGAAATGTATAAGGCAGTCATAACCATAGAAAATAAATATCTGTGTCAGTCATGTTTTCCCACATGTTAACTAAAGCAGGAATACAGAATTTTTACACCTCTTCTAGTGTGCCTTAGCCAGCCTGACTGAGATTCCTGTCTCTTGTTTTTGTTTTGAGAACGGAAAAACAAAAACATCTCTGAACTTGCGATTCCAGGCCTGTAAAGAAACTATCCTTGGTAATAGGTTCAGTAACTCCTGAGGACAGTTGTATGTAATGAAAAGATACAAAGGAACAGACTCAAAAAATAGAATTTTAATATGAAAAAGGCATACATATTAAATATGGATGAGAATACAGAAGGACAACAAAGACAGCACTGGATCAGACCTCAGAATACCTGAACCAGAGGCTGTCCCTTACAGGTGAGGAGCTCTAGGAAAAATAACACTGTATCACAGGGGTAGATAAACAACAGAATTAATTCAACTCCACAAGTATTGAGCAAGTGTCTGCTCTGGTCAAGGTGCTGTGCTGGCTGCCAACTTCCCCAAAGGGAGCTAAGGTCAAGCATAAGGACACTGAGGACTACTGGTAGAGACTCTGGTGGGATTGAAATTGGGGTTTCTATGTGTCTTTAAAGGACATAGTCATGGAGACAATCACCGTGTTAAGTGACTTGTGATTTTCCCAACTGGGCTTTCATAACCTCAATTTAAAAAGCGAGGCAACCGTATTAGTTGTTCCTTCAGGTCCTTTCCAGTTTTCTGGATTATTTTACACAAAACCCTTTGGTGCCATTGCCAGCGACCCTTCATGTCAACAGGACCCTTCGTATAGGCTTGAGAACCTAGAAATTGAAAATGTGAAGATTGCAGCTGGCCCACCTTTTTCCTGGTCATGTCTCTACCCTTTACCATCTGCCCAGACAACAGAAACACAGACGACCCTGCAATCCTCTATTTTGTAGCTGCCTTCAAAAAATAGCCCGCTACGGAGGATCTAAAGGATGGTGAGTTTCAGCTGGAACTGGGCTCTGCATGTCCCGGGGGGTCAGCCAGCAGCGCCGCAGTAGTGTGAGTGGGAAGAAGAGCAGGGAGCTCCCCCAAACCAGTGTTGGGTTTGGGCATTACTCAAAGTAGAAGCAGGTCTAACCCTCCAACGTACTGAGATCCATGAAGATGATCAACAATTTATTTAGGATGTCCTTTCATACAAAAGATTGTGGAAATTGAGGGAGGGAAAAAAATCACTCAGCAAACATCCTGAAACTGTTGTCATATAGTCATGGCAAAAGGAG